TATCTGCCTGCACCTTTGCCCTAAGGTCAAACGCTCAAAGAGACACGAAAAGAAAATGTCTTGGGCTATTCCATGCATGGATAATATGGTAGCCTCACAAAAATGTTGTTTTGATGCCCGGACACTATAGGAGTTTCCATGACATGATCATATATGGATATTAACGTAACTTGATTATTAAAACGGCTGAGATGGTAGAATATAATCCCATATGTTTTTTTTCGTGAACACGTAAAAGAATTGCACGTCAATATATTAGAATAATAGAGTTTTTGTTACACGATGCACTTAGCTAGACCGGCCTATGCCAAGGAAGGAAGAAAAACAAAGATAAAAAAAACAAGGAAGGAAAGGAAAAAACTTGATACGACGGTAACTCTACTCCAAACAGCGGGCGGGGGCAGAGCCACTCTACGCTCCCAAAAATTCTCCAAAGAAAGCGACGGCCGCTAACGACCACAGCCAGTCCTCCGAAAGAATGGACTATAGAAGGGACCACCTATATATTTGTCGACAAATTTTCTATTAAAAATTTGACAAATGTAATTATAGTACAATCGTAATGTAATTACACTGTAACTTATATGTAATTACACTGTAACTTGCATGCAACTACAGTGTAACTTGTATGTAAGTTTCACGTAATTTTGAATCGTTATACCTATTACAAGATTTGTTCTGGTGAGGAAGAAAAAAAATCACAGCACACACATATGTGAAAGAATTTGTTCTCATTACCTCTATTTTACTAAAATAACATGTTACCGAGAGATTCTTGAAAGTTATATACAAGTTACATTATAGTTACAGTGTAATTACATGCAAGTTACAGTGTAATTACACTATGATTGTACTATAATTACATCTGACAAATTTTTGAAGGAAAATTTGTCGACAAATATATAGCAAATTCGTTTACGTAATCCCATATGTAACTCGTGCAGTTACATATGTAGGCGATGATTTATACGGTGATCGGCGGCCTCTAATTTTGTGAGAAGGCTGTTCAATGCAGAGTATCTAGTTCAACCTTTTTTTTTGGGAAATTACCCCCAATTGATTGGTAGCTGTTGTTAGGTGAAACAAGAGATAAAACGATCGGGGGGAAACGACGTGCGCCGTCCAAATGCATGGAATTGACGATTGGGTGAGTTGGCATTTGGCAGCCCAACCAACATTTTTCACATCGCCTCCTACATCTTACCCCTCCCTTCCAAAGTCCCCGTAGCGCAAGTGCGCGACGGTTGCTTTCACAGTTCAAACCAATCCAACGTACTCGGCAGCTCCAGTACTGGAAGTCAACTACTCAAGTAATCAATGGATATATGACATCTGCTATACATCCAATCTGGAATAACACACACCGATTGATCGGGCTGCAAATGGTGATGTGTACTGTGGTTAGCTAGGGGTTAGCTCGCATCGCAGCCGTCGTACAGTATGTGCCTGACCTGACCTGACCCAACGAATATTGCGGCAACGCACGCTGTTTTCCTCGCCATCTCGCCGCACCGCGCCCCCGCGCGCGCGCGTTGCACCGCATGTCACGCTGGCTTCCGGATCGACCCGGTCGCGGGCGCGGACAAGTCGAGGGAAATGCCGCGTGGGTTAATTGATCCGGGCGTGCGTGCGTGCGCGTGCGATCGAAGAGCCCAATCTGTGGCCACCGGTCCAACCGCGCGCGCGGAGCCGGCAGATCAGATCCATCCAGCAGTTGACGCGCGCGGCTAGCTCGTCCGGCCTCCCGTTGTTCTTTCGCGTTGATCGAGCCGACCGACCGATTCGCCTGATCCAACAGTGCGTGCTAGGCCGCGGGGGGCGCGCGCGATTGCACATATGCCTTGGCCTACGCACGTACTAGCAACCTCGCGTACGAATCGCGTGATCGAGGCGAGCCCAAATGTAGGCACGGTTTACGTTGTACTTCACCGCGGCAGTGAGGCAAAGGCATGAACCTGATGCACCTGCACCTGCCTGCTTTTACATACCAACATAACCAGTGCACAACTATGACTGTAAATAGTATGCAATTAATATTGGCATTCTTAACTTATATAAGTCGATCGAATTTACGTGTTTGTGAAATGATACGTTAAATAGTATTAATTATTATTATTTTGATAACTTTACAATCAACATTAGAAACGTAGAAGTTCCTTGAGGGTCAATGAGACTTTCCCAATGCAAACACTTCCACTAAAGAAAACAAAGTCACAAAGAGATCAATGTGCTATTCGCGTCCATGCGGCGCTCATGGTTTCGATCGTCTCTCTCTCCTACCTGCACCATATTGACCGTACGTCGTACAACTACAGCTGCAGGTCAGCTTTGGTCAGGTATATACGTACGTTCCTGTTACCTTCTAGAAGCAAGCTAGCCACATCCATATCAAGTTGCACCCAACACCATAGGATTAAATCCATTACTACTACTAATTTTTTTAATTTGTTTCTAGTGCTCGATCATCATTAAGTACCATATCTCCTACTCGTTTTTATTTGGCGGCACCTAACACCCGGCAATTAAAATTAAACTGTAGCTGTCTATCTGAAGAGTTCCTTTCCCTGCTACTAGCAGCCAGGCTCGATCGATCGTCTCCATCAGCTTGTGTCCAGTGACATATATGATACGTGGACGCCCGGCCTGAAGAAGGTTCTGAAATTTGGTGCTCTGTCCAATCCTTGAGCTCGACAACGATCAGTTGGCAATTATTCTAGTACCTCTAGCTAGATCATAAACGTTTCTAATTAACTTCTTCTATAGCTAGATAATGCCATGTTGCGGAATAGTTAAACAAGTACGACATGTCACATGTGTGTATATCTTGTTGAACAAGATTGAAAAGGGGCATAAAGCTCCAAACCGGTGGATTTAATTAGGACAAGATCATTTTCAGAAACTGAAGATCATCTATGTATGTGTGTGTAGAGACGCTAATGCTTCCAAGTGATAGAAGAAGTTGAGGTAAAACAAAAGGGAGCTAGCACCTTTATGATCTTGTTGGGCCTACTGCTCCATTTTCTTAATACAGGAGGTTGCATGGGACTGTTCAATCATGTTTAAACTACAATTTGTAGTTTTGTACTCTGTTAGGAAACGATAGACGAACAAACGATAAAAAACAATAGATCAATCACAAAAGACACGAGATTTAACGTGGAAAACCCTCCCAAAATAGGAGAGAAAAAACCACGGGCGCCAGCCAGCAAAATATCTTCACTATATCTGAGGTGAGATTGCATCGCCGCACGGCGGCTTACAAGAGGTATATATATAGTGGAACCCTAAAAGGGATGATGATTCGCTCCGCTACGGCAGAAGCTGGCCTTTATTAAGTGCAAATGAATTTGGATCACAACTCAACAAACTCCACCTTGAGACAAATTCCTTCTTGTAGCATGAATCAATCCTTCACTCTGAACACAACAAAGACAAAAAAACACTTTCGGCGCCAAATAGCCTCTCGGGCTAAACCACTATACCAACTAAGCTTGAGCAAAGCTCAACCTTAGCAACAGGAACAGACTTTGTCATCATATCAGCAGGATTATCATGAGTACTTATTAAATGGAAATAAGTTTGGATCACAACTCAACATACTCTGCACTTCGAAGCAATTGCAAATTTGTAGTTTGGACGATTCATGTCGGCACGAAAACAGAGTTCAGAGCCACGGCTCCGGTGGCTTGCATTGCAGATGGTACGGACACAACCTTTACCTGCTCTCAAGACTCAAACTATATCATCTTTGTTTTTTTTTTTTTTCAAAAAAAAATTGCAAGGAGTATCAGCTTTTCCTTGCAGGGAGCATTGCTAGCGAAACAGAAGCAACGTTCCTTGCAAGTTTGATCAATGCAGTACAGCTTCTGGAAAGGGAGCTTTGATAATAGTACAGTTGTACATTAAGTACAAAAGGATGCGCCAATAGTCGACTGGAGAACGGAGCAGAGGACACGTCATTCCAGATAGAGCCATCTCTAGCTGCTCGTGTGTGTTTGTCAGCACATGATGCTAACTAGTACGATCTCCGGGCAATTAACAGCTTTATTTTTTTTATACTTATACTTATCAACTAAAATAGTTCTCAACCTTAAATTTTGAAGTTGATTTTAGAGTTTTTCATCGAAACTTATTTTTCAGCCTTAGCTTTTAGATCGTTAAGAACACGTATATAAAAATTTTATTCATAAATTATTTTTCATTTGCAAATATATTTTTGGCTTATTCCATTTGCAAATATACTATTTAGCTTATTCCTTAAATAAGCCAAACGATAGGGCAGTAAGTTATCATATGACATTGATAAGAGGTTCATCGTTTGTTATTCAGTTTATCCAGCCAAAATTTAAATTTAAAACTCAATTTTAAAGTTAATATTAATGTTTTTGTCTTAATTTATTTTTCGGTGTTGGTTTTTAAGTCACTACTAATACATATATAAAAATTTTACCTTTTCTTTTTCTAATAAGCGTTGCAACCTATGATCAGCAATAGGTGAAATGAAGGGATAATTAATTGAGAGAAAATTAAGCAAGTTAATTAATTACCTTGGTAAAAACACATTGAGGAAAAAGTTTTTTTTTTGCGGGGAGGAAAAAGATAATTTAACCATGTGTGAAAATACACTTGGAGATAACGCGATCCACTTGTGCCTCTTGTCGGTCCAGTTTGAAACGGACGCAAACTATGGAGTACTACCTTTTTTTTTTTTTTGACACGAACTATGGAGGACCAGGAGGAGTACTAGTACTAGTAAAGGGAAGCTTTCAGCATACCAAAGCATTTGAGCCATGCCTTTGCCTGCTTTTCCATCTGATCCGTCCAGTCCTCATCCGACGCACGGGAGGCACCCTCGCCGCGTACCTCCCGTTGCAACTGACGGCGCGGATCGGAGCGTCCGTCGAAACCCCCGTTTCCGCCGGCGGAATTTCACGCATTTCCCCGTGTCAAAATGGTCCGCCAAGTCAAAAGCCCAAGCTAGCCCCCTCTCCATCCACACACCCCCAAACCAAAATTAACCAAACCCCCGCGCCGTTAACCCTCTGAGCTTGTGATGAATTAACGATCGTGACCGATCAAGTGAGCGATTAATAATAACCCAGCGGCACACAATTAAGCAATGCAAGAAGCCGTCGTCGTTAACACCGGCGGCCGGTGGGCACCAACCCGTATTTATATACACTTCTATCCGGCCAAAGCAGCGGGCGCGGCCGGGTAACCCAACCACACACGCACGACACGAAGAACGCCATGGCGAAGCAGGCGTGGAGCTCGCTGTTCGGGTGCTTCACCTCGCACCACGACGGCGGCGGCAAGAGGAAGAAAGGCGGCGGCGGCGGGAAGAAGGCGAAGAAGAAGGTGGCGGCGGCGGCGAGCCAGAAGCAGCGGAAGCTGCAGAGCCGGCTGTCGTTCTCCGACCTGTCGTTCGGAGGGATGGTGTCGCCGGAGGACCTGTCGCTGTCGCTGGCCGGGTCGAACCTCCACGTCTTCACCATCGCCGAGCTCCGCGCCGTCACCAGGGACTTCTCCATGACCAACTTCATCGGCGAGGGCGGCTTCGGCCCTGTCTACAAGGGCTACGTCGACGACAAGCTCAAGCCCGGCCTCCGCGCGCAGCCCGTCGCCGTCAAGCTCCTCGACCTCGAGGGCACACAGGGACACAACGAGTGGCTGGTAAGTACGACACTTAATCACTAGTAGCTGCTTAATTACGCCTCGCTAAAATTTAATTATAAACTACTCCACTGCTTGCTAGCTCCATCGGCTCAGTTCATTACTTGCACGGTTGCACCTGTACGTGACCTCACATTATTACTAGCTGGCATGCCTTGACACTCCAATTAGGCGGTTATTGTTGGTAACTAAATTAATACAGAACACCACTTTGCAAAAAGTACGAAACTGATCATAATGATCAGTTTGATGAATAGTGTGGTTCTTTACCTGCTATACGCATGACGGCATGAGATTATTGCTGCTATCTAGTACCTCTAGTTGATGAGACTTGCTTACTTGTTCAAAGTTAGTTGAGCTGTTCTAGTAATAAGGTTTGAGTTAATTAGCTGGGAATTTAAACCATGATAGGACTTCAGATAAAATTAATTAATTAACCTATATGTACATGTTACATAAGTTCAGGAAAGTATATACCCAGCGTAATTAGCATTATTAACTTGGCCTTGCTACGGTGGGTACAAATTAAAGTATATATTCTGAAATGTCAGGGGAAAGAATTCAGAAAATGATTACATATTTTCTATAAGAAAAGAAAACTTGGTTTTCTGTTGAAATATAAAATAAATTGCTTGTATTTCCTCACTAGCTTAAGTTTCAACATGGAAATAGAGCCAAAGGTCTCGAATTCAAATCTTGCCAGCTGGTGCGTAATTAAATTAAAATTGCATCCACTTTTATTCTATCCTATAGGCTTGATGAGGCCCGCATGAGAGGATATTAGAATATGTAATTACTTGTTTTTCTTTATTAGCTTAATTAAACTTTTGGGTTAAATTGATCGGTGTATGCAACCGAGCTGAACTTTATTTTGCAGTATCTATTGCTTTTTTTTGTTTAAAATGGTTAATTAGTATTCCTTAAAAAAGGTTAATTAGTATTGTGATACTGTATTTGTTTATGAGTACGTACCTGCTCTATTCTTTCTACTATATTTTTTCTCAATATTCCAAACCACTAGTCTTTTCTTATATTAAAATGGTTAATTGGTATTGTAATACTGTATTAGTTTATGAATACGTACCTGCTCGATTATTTTTACTATTCTTTTTCTCAATATTCCAAATCACTAGTCTTTTCTTAGAAGTAGAAGTTTTCTTGGTTGACGTGTTACACATACTGAACTCCATTCGAGAAAGTTTCAGAAGTTTGCTGCTAGATAGTAGATACCATGGAACAATAATTCAATAGAACAGTGCTGCTTGCTTAGCTGAAATGCTTCCTTATTTTATTTTTCTCCCAGTTAAAAGCAATCAAATGAGAAAAAAAAATGTCTGGACTTGACTGACAAGTCTGCAAATGCATACATGGCCCGATGATTATGCAGACTGAAGTCATCTTTCTGGGGCAACTGAGGCATCCTCACCTCGTCAAACTGATCGGCTACTGCTACGAGGATGAACACAGACTTCTCGTTTACGAGTTCATGACGAGGGGCAGCTTGGAGAAGCATCTCTTCAAAAGTAAGCTTGAAAAAAAATACTAATATTTTGTTATTGTTTCCTATATTATGCTAGCTTTCTGCTACTCTGAATATACAAGAAATTTGGTGCAAGCCTCAGTTGTTTTCTGACAAATTAGCAGAAGTAATTAAGAATAAAAGCGTAACTGAGATTAGAGAGAATTGAAACGATTTACATATATATCAACGGTATAAGTATATATTATAGCAGAGTGACAATCTTGCAGGCAACAAGAAAGAGATATTCGTAAAACATTGCTATCACTCTGCTTTTTCCTCGCTGCATCATTAAGCTAAAAAGGATTCGACAGAATCTCTAGGCTGAACATCGGTTGAAATGGACGGCGCGATTTTACCAACTCGCTGGCATAAACTTTTCTGCAAATTGGTGGCGCGGCTAAGCTCGATTGATCGAGTAGCTTTTCTTGCTCTACACCCTTCAATATGTTTCTCCAGTTTTTCCTGATGGTTCAAACTGCCTTTTTAGACCTTTGTTGTGACGTCCATTTTTGCGTTACATCATATCTCACTCTCTGTATGGAGTCATTTTCTCTTAACCACTTTGATATAATTCACACCTGCAACTTGCTTTTGTTCTCCTCTTTGTCTGTCTCTTGTACAGTCCTACTGTCATGTCTTCATTGTCAATTTGCCTCTGCATAGTGAAGAGGAAACAGCGCAGATTTGATGTATAATCATGAGTATGGTAGGGGTAGGACACCTTCACCACTCGTTGTCTACTATGGTTTTTTCACATTAGTACTTGCGTCAAAGTAGTAGACAACCCCTAATATGTGATTTGGATCAACCTCACAAGTCAAAATTCGTGGCTTGTGTTATCGGTAACCACATGATCTAGTCACCTCGATCTATCAATTACTACTGGTTTAAGAGACATAGTAGCACAATATGCTTCATGTTTTATTAATGAAGCAAGGTAGCCCTGAAAACTGAAAAATCACGTGTGAGGGAGTACAGTGATTAAACTGTTGCAAATTAATTAAGAGATAGCAACGTTTCAGCAAAGTTTTTTTTAAGTAAATCCGATGTCATTAGTTTCATGTAGTCAGTCTACTGTCATGGACATGCAGATGCATGCTGACCAAAATGTACATTTCTCTTCTTAATTCAAGCTCCATATGTGCATACTATTATTAGTTCAACTTAATCGTCTTATCTGATTACATATCGTACTTACACACCAAATGTGCAGAGTACGCAGCGTCGTTGCCATGGTCAACACGGTTGAAGATCGCCATAGGTGCCGCGAAAGGGTTGGCCTTTCTCCATGAAGCCGAGAAGCCGGTCATCTACCGAGACTTCAAGACCTCCAACATCTTGCTAGACTCGGTACGTCCTTGACCTTAATTACGTTACCATCGTGGCATCGTATATGTGTTCTTCACCTACTTCCCCAAAAGATTGACCTGCTTGTCATTTGATCTCTAATAAGGTTATTAGTAGTCAGAAAAGTTATATTCTTTTAGATAATAGTCAGAATACATGCATCATGCATGCATGGTTTGGTTGCTTGTACGTTCTTAATTAGTTTCCAGTATGAAACTGTCGTGATGCCAAATGCCAAGTACTAAACAACAAATCTTGACTACTACTCGATCGCCTATGTATACTGAACTAAGAATTGGTCAGGTTTCAGACTTTCAGTTTCAACTATAGCAGCGCTCCCGTTTTGTCATCAATGCGTTAACGTGACAAAGGCCGCGAATTTAGTTCTAAATTTTTTCTTCAAACTTCCAATTTTTTATTACATCAAAAGTTTTCTACACACACAAACTTTTAACTTTTCCGTCATATCGTTTTAATTTCAACCAAAGGCCGTGTTTAGTTCCTGAAAAAAGTTGAAAGTTTGAGGAAAGTTGGGAATTAAAAAAAAAAGTTGAAAATTTATGTGTGTAGGAAAATTTTTGATATAATGTGATGTGATGGAAAGTTGAAGGTTTAGGGTAGTTGGGGGTAAACTAAACACGGTCAAACTTCTAATTTTAGCGTGAACTAAACACACCCAAAGAAAGAGCAGGGTGGTATGACTATTTCTCCGTGGAGAAAAAAAACTGAAAAAAAAAGGTAAAACATGGAGTGATTCATCAGTTTAAACTAAATTATTACGCGCGTGATAAACAGAGTTGTTGGAGTTGGGTGCATGGTGATATTTCCCTCTGAACAATAATCCCTAGCAGGCTAGCACTACTGCTAGTGCATTTGCTTTGGTTACGCTATTATTTCTCCATCAACTGAATCCTGCAGTTGCAGCAGAAAGGTTTTCTTACACAAGTACAATTCTGTAGCAATCTTAATTTTGTTTTCGTTGCTGAATTGTCCGTAGGACTTCAAAGCCAAGCTCTCAGATTTCGGGCTAGCGAAGGACGGGCCAGAGGATGACGAGACGCATGTCTCGACACGTGTCATGGGCACACAGGGATACGCTGCACCAGAGTACATCATGACAGGTTTGACAGCAGAAAAAACTGCAACCTTTTACCCCATCCTAAATAAACAATATAATATAAAATGTGATATATCCTATTCAGATTTGTAATACTAAATCTGTCACATTTCTCTTTTTCTAAAAAAAATTTTGAAATATATGGAGTAAGGGTGAGTTTGAGGAGAGGGGGATAGAGAAGATTGGGAAGATACGTAAAACGAGGTGAGCTATTAGCGTATGATTAATTGATTATTAATTATTTTAAATTTTAAAAATGGATTAATATGATTTTTTAAAGCAACTTTCCTATAAAAAATTTTTACAAAAAATACACCGTTTAGTAGTTTAGGAAGCGTGCGCATAGAATACGATGTCCCTTTCTCACCCAATCCATCCCCTAGAACGAACGCACCCTAAGTTTTACTCCGACAATCTGATCGATGGTTTGTCAGTAGATTAAAAGCAATATAATTATGGTCTTGTTATCAAATTATTTTTAGGGCATCTGACGGCGAAGAGCGACGTGTACGGCTTCGGCGTGGTGCTGCTGGAGCTGCTGTCGGGGAGGAAGTCGGTGGACAAGAGCCGGCCGGCGCGGGAGCAGAACCTGGTGGAGTGGGCCCGGCCGTACCTGACCGACGCGCGGCGGCTGGGCCGCGTCATGGACCGCAACCTCGCCGGCCAGTACCCGGCCAAGGCGGCGCAGAAGGCCGCCGCGCTGGCGCACCGCTGCGTCAGCCTCAACCCCAAGTCCCGCCCCCACATGTCCGCCGTCGTCGAGGCGCTCGAGCCGCTCCTCGCCCTCGACGACGACTGCCTCGTCGGCACCTTCGTCTACGTCGCGCCGCCCGACGACGTCGCCGCCAACGGCGACGGCAGCAGCAAGAGGCGAGCCGGCCGGAGGAGGTCTGACGGCGCCGCGGCGGCGGCGGCGGCCGATGGTGTGCAGCGGGAATGACTCGGTTTTGCTTGCGTTTGTCTGTACTCGTCGAGCTACGTGCTGATCAAGCGATGCCGGTAAATTAATCCGGATCAGTGAGTTGGCTCGTGGGTAAAAAATGATTGTGGATTTGAAGCATGTTATTATTTGTCTTAGGCTTGAATAGCAGAATAGGATTAGAGCGTGTAAATACGAGCATGTCAGACGTACATGAGCAAATTGAGCATGTAAACAGTTTGACAAAATATGGATGGTTTATCACTTCTCATGTTGGGAGGTTTCTCTAGTATCTTCCCAGCGCCGTGAAATATCTCTGTTGATAGACACTGTATGCTGTACGCGAGTATGTTATTACTGTTTGCTGAAAGACTGTAGGTTTTCTCCGTGTGCACTGTATTTAAATTTTGAGAAGCTGCAAGGATTTAGTAATGGTAATGTTGGTGGTGTACGGTGTGGGAATGCAATACAACTGTAACAATTGGACAGGGAGAACGGAATGATTCCGGATTCAGGATTTCTGATGTCAGGCAGCTACCATATGGGCCAAATATATGTTGGGCCAAGAGAGGAGATCACAGAGATAGGCCCAAAACCTCTTTGTAGCCCACAAGGACACACTCCTGGCTAGTCGCCGGCAATTGGACCAACCGCACCACGTTCCGATGTGCCGGTGTAACATGTACCGCGTACGTAATAACAGATGCTAAGCAGCAAAGGCGTAATCGAGCCCAGAGATTTCCCCTAATCTACCTTAGGTTCATCGCCTGTCATTCCAGAAGCACCAGCCGAGCGCCGCCGCGGCGGCCACGTCCACCAGCCATACGCCCAACGCGGCGAACGCCACCTGGCCGCGCCCCATCAGCTGTAAATACGCCACCGCGGCGGTGTGCAGGAGCACGGGCGCGGCCACCAGGCAAGCGAGCGTGCCCCTGTGCATGTCCTCGACGAGGCACGGCCGCAGCATCAGGCGCATGTACAGCGAGAACGGCGCGAGGAAGAAGAGCACCCCGACGCCGGCGCTGGACAGCGCCGTCGTCGTCGCCGGGACGAACATCGCCTGCGCCGCCGCCGCGCAGAGCCCAATTACCACGGAGACGCACAGCAGGACGGTCACCGTGGTCCTCAGCTTCCGTATCTGCTCGCTGCTGGTGAGCTCCTCCCAGCGGAGCCAGATCGCCTCGTCATCCCACCATGGCGACGGCTGATCCGGTGACGACCGTCTCGCCGCCGCCGCCGCCACCGTGAGGCCAGCTTCGACGTCGTCGTCGTTGTCGTCTTTATTGTTGCTTACCATCTTCTCGCCGTTTTTAGTTTCTCCCTGCAGACTCCCGCGATTCGACGCGACGCCGTACGTCGCCGCGCGCGCGCGTATATATCGCGCATCCGACTATCCGACTACGGCTTGCACTCCGTAACATATCCGACTGCGGCTTGCACTCCGTAACGTGTCGCACCAGGATACGGACACACTTTCAAGTTGTAGGCTTGTAGTTGTAGCGCACGTATACATATGTCATAGCCGAATAATCGACTGCGAGGTTGACCCAAACAACGGAAAAACGATGGAACAACGCTGGGACGAGCGCCCGCGGCGGACGTTGGCGGAGATCGTCCGCGGCCGCGCCGCGGGGCGCAGGTCGGCGATCCGCTTCGCCATGGCGGTCTCCGCGGCGTGCGCGGCCGTCGCCGGCGCGACGGTGGCGTGCCTGCCCGGCGCGCCCGCGGGCGCCGCGTTCGGGCTCGGCCTCGCGGGGCTCCTCTTCCTGCTGCCGTTCTCGTCGCTCTACGTCCCCATGCTGCGGCCGCCGGTGGACATGTCCAGGCCCTTCCTGAGCTTCACGATCGGCACCGCGCTCGCGCTCGCCGCGGCCTACCTCGCCCTGCTGCTTCTCGCCGCGACCGACAAGATGCTCGGCGCCGACGCCGTCACCGGCTTCTTGTGGGGGGCCGACCTCACCGGCGCGGCGAGCCTTGGATGGTTTGTCTTGACCACGAAAGACACTACTAGGTCTTATATCATTCGTGAGGAAAGACTGGAGGTGGTCAAAATTGGCTAACCGTGCAACTGATCTATTGCATTTTTCACTCCATTGGACATTGTTACTAGTTAAGCAAAAGCAAATTTGCCTTTCATGAAGATTTGTTTGATGAAGTATGTGTTATTACTACTTCTTTCTGATTACATCGAATTATCATTTTTTTCCAATTACATTAAAATATACAGAAAACCTAGACAACGATATCCCGTTGGAACGAGATACCCTTCTATAAGACAGTACCTATACCTGTTTATAGCACCAGCTGCATGGTACCCGATACCTGTAATACTTGTTATCCGGTATCTGTGATATCTAGGACCTGATACTTGTGTAAGAGAATAGTTAATATGCCTATCCCGTTGCAATTGGATCCCGTTTTGTAGCAGCCCTCTAAAATATAATATACGTGCACACACCATTACACGCGTACACATCCACGAGTGTACACGCAGCAGCAAAAATATGGGCCGGAATGCTGGGCCTGAGCCTTCAAAAACTGGGCCGGACCATACTGTAAACCTGCTTGGAACACAAATGAATTCTGCAAACTAGGAATGGTCTATTTCTAGCAGAGTATGGAAAACTTTGTGTTTCCACATGGAGAATTCATACAGATATTTGTTTTACAAATAGAAGTTTTCATCTATCAGTAAGGTCTGCAAACTAAGTTACATAGATGTTATTTGTATTTAATTAAGTAAACTTCTCACCAAACCAATTTACAATATTTACAACATATTGTGTGCTGCTAGTGTATCAACAAAAAGTTAAAATAAGTTATCTAGCAGCATGATTAATAACGAACTAACGCAATTGAAACAAATTTGCTAGTTAATACATTCTTATCCAATGATTGCTATTAACACCTTGTCGATTCCCCATGGATGTTGTCAAGAATGGCAATTACACCAACCACAAACGCCTGGTCATAACCTGGCTGCACCACCACATGGTAGAAGTCCTTACCAGCCAGCATCCCTTTCACTCCAATCTAGTGAAATAAAATACAACAAATGCTTGTAAACATTTTTTACCATATGATATAATTCCATTCCTGATCAAGTTCATTTCAACTCCATTGCCATGACCGAAGAGTTTCATTACCTGTGCTACGACATGGCCTGCTCGGCTCCTGACAGTGCAAGCTCTCTGAGAAAATGACCCGATCACCTCATAATCCCAGTGCCTCTTTCTTCCCTTTGGCTCAACAGCGACCCTGACATCGCCGTTCATGCAGAGCACCGGCTTAGGATCTTGAAAGCTGAAAACCAGCTTGCTGGGTTCACCATAGTCCATGAGATATCCCTTCCACCAATTGTTAATGCTCAACACTTGAACAACTCCTCCCTGAAAAATCAAAAGTTGATCAAGCATGCAGTGTTCTGAACATCATGGCATCTACTCAGATTGAAAACATTTCAGGTGAAGTCTAATCTTGAGTTGGTTTCACCTTCTTGTGGATGAAGAGGATGGCAGTGCCATCACCGTCCCTGACGATCAGCTGGCCGCTAGCACCGATGATCCCGCAGCCGTCGACGCTGAAGACGACCCTCTGATCACGGTCGGTGACGACGAACCCGCCGCCGTTCACCGTGGGAGGGCGGCGGCGCACCATCAGCACGGCTTGCGAGCTGCTGCAGAAGATCTTGCTAACAACCGGCGTCAGAGCTGCGTACGCACCCATCTGATACGGTAGCTCTTTCAGTTCTTGGAGCTACGAATACTAGTTGTGATCAACGATGAATTGTTTTTACAATGTAGCTTCTGCTAATGCAGGAAAGGAATAAATAGGGTCATTTGAGTGTACGTGTGTCGCATGACTCATCTGTGCACGGATGATGCATCTGCCTAACCATGGTCTATTGTGAGTTTGTGAGCCAAGCGATTTGGATGAAGTTGCAGAGCTGAAGCAACGTATGGCAAACGACCTGGTGATTTGGTCATGGAAAAGTATGGCAAGTGTACAGGAGGAGCTCATAAAGAATCTTTGAATTCGATTGCTTTGGGCCACCGAACTGCTTTATCATCATCGGATTAAGTGTTTACATTCAATTCATGAAGGTTTATGCCTGATTAAGAGCACAATTATGCTCCAGTCAGGTCGCTTTAATTTTGATGAACGACAGATGGCAACGCTAAGTAGGAAACTTGGCAGGTTTTGGAGATAATCAGATAAACCGACCTGAGCTTATCCTTGTCACAAGTGGTAGCTAATCATGTAATCGTGAGAGTATCCAGCCAGCTTTTAATCCTGATTTCCTTTTTCCGGCTCTAAACATGGTCATGAATCTTCAGCGCTAAGCAAAAACTCACATGTCACAGTCACCTAAGCAAACTCTCATAGTTTCATTCACATACTATGAATTTTTATTTATATATTTATTTTTTATAAAAATACAAAAAATATATATTTGAAATTTGTTTTTAAAAATTATATAAATACACTCCTAGTTCTCTTTGCGAGGGTGTCTTTTAAAAATCGTTGTTCTAGAGGATGAGAAGGGGCCTAAATGTATTTTTTTATTTGTATAGACACTTTCTGCTGGTTTTAATTACTATAAAAACTAGTAACGCTTATTCGACACTTTAAATAATTTTAAATGAAAAGGTGATAAAGACATGAAGTTTATCTCTATTGGAGATCGTTTGAAATGTAGATATGGGATTTTATGAAAGTAGATTTTAGATTTTTTTTTAACGGATGTTTGGATTCTTAAACAATCTTAAATGAAAAGGTTGTGAACTACAATCCTCGAGCTCTATAATTTGATTTCATCCAACTTCATATGACATAGTAAATTCCATGTGTACCCTTTAAAACTCACTCAAGCTGTGTTCGGAATCATATGTACCTAGCATGCACAGCGCGCACGGACAACGGAGCAGTCCATTAGCGCGTAATTAATTAAGTATTAACTATTTTTTTTTAAAGATGGATCAATATGATTTTTTTAAGCAACTTTCGTATAGAAACTTTTTACAAAAAATGCACCGTTTAGCAGTTTGAAAAACATGCGCGCGGAATACGATGGAGAGGGGTTGGAACTCATGGTTCCAAACACAGCCTCAATCCCTTTCATATCCCTGAAATTTACTCGATCATTTCTATACCCCTGAAATTTCAACTTGATCTCTTCCATGCCATTGCCGTTACATTTTCCTTCATTTGAATTGTTTGGTTGCAAATGTTTTTTATGCCCTTGATGATTTAGGTTTGAATATAAGCTTAAAAAACGATTGAAAATTTTGTTTGAGTGCACAATATGTGCATTTTATAAAACTAATAAGACTAAATAATTAGTACAGAAATATTTGACATAAAACAAATGTAATAATTTCAAATCTTTATTTGAATTTTTAATAGGACAATGAATTTTTTTCTATAAAGAACATTCATTAAAAAAAATATCATGAGCATATTGGTAATTCTATCTTTTTATGAATGCTCCTTATTTTTTTTAATTTTTTTTAAAATAAAATAAATACATATTTTTTATTTCATTATCGAAAAGTAAATTGTCATAAATAATGTATCGCACAACAAACTCATAACTATAATAGTCTCATGTAGTAAACTTTTTCATTTTCAATAATGTAATTCATAAATTTCTATGTTCATCCAAAGGTAAAATGGTCATTTTTATAGAAATTAGACGGTCAACTAACTGTCAATTGACAGGAGGGGCATGAAAGAGATCAAAATCAAATTTTGGGGGTAAAAAATAGGGGCATAGAAGGGATCAGCTAAAATTTCAAGTGTATACGAGGGATTTTCTCTATGACATATTTGTAATTAAAAAAATACAAAGTTGACAAGTTATACGGGAAAATTTGCATTTAAGCCTCTTCTCATCCTCCTAGAGAGCGATTTTTTTTTAAAAAAATAAATATCATCTTCCCGGTATTTTAAAACAAATATATATTTCTGTAACTTATTTAATTAATAAATATATAAACAAAAAATTCCACCTACTCTCATGTCACAAGTAGTACAAAAAGCAATCAAATTCTCAAGCCCATGGGCTATAGCTTCAACTCCAAAGGCCTCAAGACTGACGAGCTACTGCCATATGGGCTGGGCTTTTCAGGTGGCCGGCTCGCATTCGCGGCTGGAGAACAGTCAGGTCAAACGAGCTTGGTGCAACCGTGCAACACACAACATGTATTATACCAGATTTTTTTTATCGTTTCAAAGTTTTACAAAAATATACTCCTCCCGTCCTATAGGAGGAGTATATTTCTATAAAAATTTAAAATAATAATTTATTAAATCTTATAAATAAATAAATAAAATTCTACCACACCACAAGTCCACTACACCAGCTACAACTTTCTCCTATTACAAGTGCTGGTGGACATGGATTGGATTTTGATGCCTGTCCGAGATGGCACCGACAGACACCCGCTCCAATCAGTCCCCCCTCTGATCACTTTCTCCCTTTTTTTTTCATCAACTCCATGATCGATCCGTCCATTTTGCCCACGTCGTGTTCGTGCATGCGACGGTACGAATAATATATCGCTCTCCTCCTTTGCTGGCTAATGAATGATTTGAGGTCACTGATAAATCGCACATCATGTGTACAGTGGCTTAGCCAAATGATCCATCGCGCTGGCTGAACTGAGCCACAAAAATTAACGGCAGGACGAGTTGAGTTTGGATTGTAATTGTTGTTGCAGGTGAATGGTTACAGTTGAAGAAGAAGCCAGCGTCATGGGGCTCTTGAATTGTGATAGGAGTAGCTTACCAAAACGAAGAATCATCGAGCCCTTAAACACCCTTTTTTTTTTCGGGAAAGAGAGAAATTGAACACTTTGAAAGTCTCACCTCGTGAACAATATGTAACACGCAGCAACGTTTCTTGGAAGGTGGCAATGGTGTATGGGTGAATCGCATCGATTCTTCTCTCGTCATACCACTTACATCATAAAAGAACATTTCCTTTTTGACAAAAAAAGGGTAATCTATCCATCCCAAAATAAATTTATTTTCACTCATTTCACGCATACCTATACAGGAAAAAAAAGAATACTCTCACTTTATTAAATGTTAATGCAATTATTTCTCACTTTATATACTTCGACTTAAATGATTACTAAAAATACGTTTAATTTAGGACAAACTGAAGAAGCAAAAAATAAATTTATTACGGGACAAATGAAGAAAAAACACTAAATTAGTGGAGTGATTATAGTATTATGCACAGAGCAGTGACGAACACTGCACTTCTGACAAATATACCCTTTTTAGAGCTCAACAGCAAACAATGAAAACAAAAGGGAACTTGCCGGAATATAAGTTCACCAACCCTTTTGCTCCACGCTATAAGAGTACCCGCAATGGTAAAGTAAGGTGCTATCTATAAAACATGTACATCTCAGCAATAGACTCGATTAATAGTAAACCACCTTAATAGTATGTCTACATTGGTATCTATAGCTCTCTCATGCATTGCCTCGTTTTTCTCTATAGACTATCTCTAAGTTAGTAGATAGTTTTGCTCTCTCTCTTCATTTAATACATTCCAAGTAGGAAAATATGCTGACATAGATCTCTTGTAGAGAGCCTATAGATAACCATTGTGGGTGCCCTAATTCGCCCTTTTTTTCTGACATTTAACACTAATAAATGATATAACTACCCTAAGACCAGATCTAAGAAAATACAATATCCTAAGACTTCTCTGAAACTTCGGCTGAACAGAAACCATGGGCAGGTTCAAGTTCAACTATCATGGTCAGTCACAGGCACGTGGGTTATTGTACATTTCGCCGTACATAATGCCAACTCATAAACACTTAGAAATCGTCTCTCCTAAGATCTATGTGAAGAGTTTCTAAGAACTGTAGTTTTTCATGGAGAAAAATCCAAGGGTCTTTCAGCCATTTGCACAAGGTGGTGGGCTAGCTGATCTAGGTTTAAAGTCTCTCACATTCTACTTATTTGATAGATCATTTCTTAATATTTACGTTATTTTAACTGTAGCTTCTCATATAATCTCTAGTTTCTCAAACTGTTTAGATTGTTATCTAAATTCTGAAAATTTGTAGTTGTAGAATATAGAAAATAAACTAGAAATTGAAAGCTGAAATTTTCAGTTTTTCTAAACTCTTAAAAACTAACTACCAATTAGTAAATTATTGTAATCTTCTAACTCCCGGACAGGGTCCTAGTCTCGTGCCGCCCTGCACAAAGACAAACAAAAATTCTTGAGAAACCCAAGTGTTTCAGTCATCCGGTCAGCCAGCGAAACCATCCAAAACTTCCTTGTAAAAACGCCCATGTCGCCCATGACTTCCACCCATAGCACGAGCTGACTGCAAAATATAAAAATCCGGCAACACTGACACAGCCACAAGACGCGACACCTCCCCTGAATGAATGAATGAATCCTACTAGGCCAGCACTGCTGCTGCCTGCTGCTCCCAACTCGACGACGCCAACCACCTCGCCTCGCTTAGCTCCCACCTAAACAGTAAGAGCACACAGCCCAAACCGGCGGGAGATCCGAAGCGCAGCCAAGAACGCATCACTGTCCTCTTCGTCTTCGTGCATGGAGTTGACCGGCCTGACGCGGGCGGCGGCGGCGGCCACCGTGACGCCGCCGGCGCCGCGCCGGGGATGGGGCGAGCTCCGGTTCGCGCCGCTGCTGCCCGGCGAGCGGCATGGGAGGAGGAAGGTGGTGGTGGCGGCCATCAGCGAGGAGGTGCCGCGGCTGGCGGCGTCGCCGTCGTCGGGGATCAAGGGCGGCGGGGCCGGGGAGAGGCGGCCGGCGCCGGAGAAGGTGGCGCTGCGGGCGGCGCTGACGGTGCGGCGGAAGCAGAAGGAGGACATCAAGGAGGCGGTGGCCGGACACCTCGACGCGCTCTGGGACATGGTCGGCCGGAATGTCGTGCTCGAGCTCATCAGCACCAAGATCCACCCAAGTAAGAAGAATCAAGCAAAGCACTCCATTTTCTTGGGAGTAAGCTTTTAAGCTAGCACCTCGCCGAGTTGACTTCAAATCTCACCTTTATTCGAGCTGTTTATTTTAGTTCTTCTTTTTTTGGATAAAGTTTAAGCTTGTTTTGATCGTTTTTCTACTTTACTGGGAGCTGGAAATGCAAAGTTGCTAGTACCTTTTTTTGGCTTCAGCTCCGTTTGCTCCTCATGGTCCTGGGTAGGTAGCAGATGGCAGTCAGGGGATTCTGATTAGATGCAGATGATCACCAGATCTTTATAATTTATAATGGAGTTAGTATAATGAGAGCATGGAGATGGAGAGCATGTGTCCGTTGCATTAGGATATTCACACTGCATTTTTTTCCAACTACCTTTTCATGCTTACAAAAGAGTATCCAAGCAATTGGAGCTACTCTATATACTTTTTAAACACTGACATCTTTCAGAAAACTAGAAAAATCCCAAGATTTGCAAGTTGGAGAAAGGAAATAAATGGAATGGTTATTTTAACAGAGCTTTCTTTCTACCTTTAAATCCAAAGCGCCCACCGGAATCTTCAGAGTACTTCAATGCAGAGCCTCCCCTTTTCATGATCACATCAGAATTTTTTGCCCCTTTAGAAAAAAAAAAGCATCAGAATATTTCGTGACTAAATGGATCATAACTGTGCACGCAAGTAAATATCTTTCCCTTGTCTCCATGATCCGCGAAAGTTCTTGTCCCTTTCTTGTCAATTTTTACATGTCTCCAAATTTGACTTGCCTTGCCAACTTTCCCAGCTCTGACTGAGTTGTTGCTGCTGCTGATGATGATGATGAATCTTTCACAGGGACCAAGAAGCCGATGCAGAGTGGCCGTGTGTCCATCAAGGACTGGTGCCAGAAGAGGGGAGCCAAGGGCGACCACGTCGTGTACACGGCCGAGTTCACGGTGGACGCCGACTTCGGCGAGCCGGGCGCCATCGCCGTGGCCAACCGGCACAACAGGGAGTTCTTCCTGGAGAGCATCGTCGTCGAGGGCGGCGGCCTGCCGTGCGGGCCTGTGCACTTCGCCTGCAACTCCTGGGTGCAGTCCACCAGAGAGCTGCCAACAAAGAGGGTGTTCTTCAGCAACAAGGTACTCTGAACATTCCGTTCAATTATTTTTCTTTGGTCCAAGGAAAAAAAAAAACGTGTTTTGAGGCTGTGATATTATCATGGCTAGGTGATCCTTACAGTAGTCATGTTCCAGTTAATAGTGATATTAGTCACTAAGCTGGTTGTGCATCATTGTCTGTGATGGTGATTGGGGAAAGAAGGCCATTAACTACAAAACGAGGTGGCAGGCCAGCCTAAAGGCATGATTTTTAGAGTTACTGCTAGTGTGTCATTGTCAAAAACCCGATTATTTGGCATGATTTTTATTGAGTTATGTCATGTCCAAATGTTGTTTAATTTCTCAGCTTTTAGATGGGTCATAGGCCTGTCAGTAGAACGTATCTATGGCCTGTCCGAGAACGATCTTTTGGCACTAGGTTAAATGAACTGAGTGGGGCACCAATGCCTTATGCATCTTCATGTGTATAATGCGGTGTGGTTTTTCCAGCACTTTCAAACAGGACTGTCAATTCTTTACATTTTGCTCCAAAGGAAGTCAAGACAACTATAAAAGAATTTAGGTTAGGTTGTGATCCCACTTGGCTGTTTTTTGGCCTTCAAATGGTGACTTGATTTCTTTGATGAGAAAGTGATAACAATTCTAAAAAAAATATTCACTTGAAGATTACGTAATTCAGATTTCTGATAATATATGAATGGTCTCATGCAGCCATATTTACCTTCTGAAACACCTCCCGGGCTTAGAGAACTAAGGGAGAAGGAACTTAAAGACCTAAGAGGAGATGGCACAGGTGTTCGGAAATTATCTGACAGAATATATGATTATGCCACATACAATGATTTGGGAAATCCAGATAAGGGGAAGGAATTCATCAGGCCGATCCTTGGAGGAGAGAAGATACCTTACCCACGGCGTTGCCGGACTGGTCGCCCGCCAACGGATACCAGTAAGTTCTGTTTGCACACGATCCTTAGCGGATTATAGAGAAGGGAATTGGGTAAAAGGCAGAAAGGTGCGTGTTATTTTCCAACTATAACTAGCACGAAGCTTGTGCATGTCCAATTCCATTTTGATCAAAGACCAGGTCACTTTCAGATGTGATAGCTTGCCCCTTCAATAAACAATCCTTCACCACGTGGTTTGATTCCTTGATGGTGCCAGGATTTGACAAAAGAATATGTAACTTTTAACTTCTGAATAACGCTTGACTTTATGCAAGACCTAGAAGTCATATCTATCCATAAGCAGGCAAAAATCTATGGCGTACACTCCAATGGGGAAAAAATACCGAGAATTGCCTAATTGAAACAGAAAAGAGCAGCTCAAGAGTATCAGATTAGGATCATGGCAATTTCTTCTGGGTGAAGAGTCTTGTCAGGTACTGAGTATTGCCAATAGTTAGGCTGAAAGTATATGACATATATGCCCATTAACAACCGGGACCAATAGAACTATAGACCTTATGGATGGCCTTTTCTATATTGTTTAGTCTTTGGAATGGTGTTCTTGGACTCTAGCCACAGTACCGAATACAAACTGGCCATGCAAGTCCTAGTGAATATTAAACTAATCAATATAATTTGACATTATCCCTAGCAATTATTAGACTCTCAGGACTCCCTGTAGGATTGTTGCTGTAATGTGTTTCTGGATTACTCGGAACAAGTTTTTTTTTTTTTACGAGGGTTCTAAGTGGTTAATTATTACTTCTATTTGTGTCATCAACCATGCACTTCACTATAAAGTTTAAAGTGGTCCAACGAATGCTTCCAGATAAATTTTGGAATTTCACCTAATCAAACAGTTAAAATGTAGAATTAACTTTATGCTTTACCTGTGTAGACATGCTAGCAGAGAGCAGAGTAGAGAAGCCGCATCCAATATATGTTCCCCGCGATGAGGCATTTGAGGAGCTGAAGCAGGGTGCCTTCTCATCAGGGAGGCTCCGGGCAGTACTTCACACATTGATCCCATCGCTGATTGCATCCATCTCAGCTGAGACCCACAATTTCCAAGGCTTCCACCACATCGACAACCTCTATAAGGAGGGCCTCAGGCTGAAGCTGGGCCTGCAAGAACACCTATTCCAGAAGATACCACTTGTTCAGAAGATTCAAGAGTCGAGCGAAGGGATGCTTCGTTACGACACTCCTAGCATTCTTTCTAGTAAGCAATGATCATTAATTCGTTTTTTACCTCAAGCTGATTTGCCAGCAGAAAAAGTTTCTTCGAATTCAAGAACCCTTAAGAATCACCACTAACAATGTCTCCCTCATTCTGCAGAGGACAAGTTTGCATGGCTCCGTGACGATGAGTTTGCTAGGCAGGCTGTTGCAGGAATAAACCCAGTTAACATTGAGCGGCTGCAGGTAATAAGATGAAATCATGATCCTCAGCTCAGTCACAGAAATTTGTTTTTAATGTTGATCAACATCTGTAATCCATAACCTGATTTTTGGTAAAAACTTAACTGAGATAATTGCCTGGAAATAGGTTTTCCCACCAGTGAGCAAGCTGGATCCTGCAATCTATGGACCACCAGAATCATCAATTACTGAAACACACATAGCTGGACATCTCAACGGACTCACAGTACAACAGGTACCATCATTTTGATGAGGTCTTAAATCATGTCCAGTAGTGTCCCCATGGTTATTCTTTCTGATCACATGTCACAATTGAAGGCAATGGACGAAGCAAAGCTGTTCATAGTGGACTACCATGACGCATACCTGCCATTCTTGGACCGGATCAATGCGATAGATGGACGGAAAGCATATGCGACCCGAACAATCTTCTTCCTGACAGAAGCTGGCACACTGAAACCGATCGCTATCGAGCTTAGTCTTCCTCCAGCCAAGCCAGGGGAGCCTCGGCCAAGCAAGGTCCTGACGCCTCCCTATGATGCTACCTCGAATTGGCTCTGGATGCTTGCCAAGGCCCATGTCAGCTCCAACGATGCTGGTGTCCATCAGCTGGTCAATCACTGGTAAAAAAAAAAAAGAACAAACATGCCATAATGTTGTCACTGCTGCCTTGACAAGAACACCAAATTGTCAGGTAACTTCTGAACATTGTGACTAACCGGGTCCTCTCTTTCAGGCTTAGGACGCATGCAACAATGGAGCCGTTCATCCTGGCGGCGCACCGGCATATGAGCGCAATGCACCCCATCTTCAAGCTCCTGCACCCGCACATGCGGTACACGCTCGAGATCAACGCGCTTGCACGGCAGAGCCTCATCAACGCCGACGGAGTGATCGAGTCCTGCTTCACCCCCGGCCCTGTCTCCGGCGAGATCAGCGCTGCTTACTACCGTAACCACTGGCGGTTCGACCTGGAGGGCCTCCCTTCCGACCTCATCCGCAGGCAATGCCCTCTCCTCCCCATCACCATCCATCATCTGATTCTGAACAAACGACGAAGCTTTTGTACTTTCATGGTCACTGACATTGCCTGATTCGTCTGCAATTCTCAGGGGAGTTGCTGTGGAGGACGCGACGCAGCCCCATGGCGTCAGGCTTCTCATCGAGGACTACCCATACGCGAATGATGGGCTCCTGCTCTGGTCGGCAATTCGAAGCTGGGTGGAGTCCTACGTGCAGCTCTACTACCCGGACGCCGGGACGGTGCAGTGCGATCTTGAGCTGCAGGGGTGGTACCACGAGTCGATCCATGTCGGGCACGGCGACCTCCGGCACGCGCCGTGGTGGCCGCCGCTCTCCACGCCGGTGGACCTGGCGTCCATCCTGACGACGCTGGTCTGGCTCGCGTCGGCGCAGCACGCGGCGCTCAACTTCGGGCAGTACCCGCTGGGCGGGTACGTCCCGAACCGGCCGCCGCTGATACGGCGGCTGCTGCCGGACCTGGAGCGCGACGCGGCGGAGTACGCCGCGTTCCTCGCCGACCCGCACCGCTTCTTCCTGAACGCGATGCCCGGGGTGCTGGAGGCGACCAAGTTCATGGCGGTGGTGGACACGCTGTCGACGCACTCGCCCGACGAGGAGTACCTCGGCGAGGGGCGGGACGAGGGCGGCGTGCCGTGGACGGCGGACGAGGCGGCCGTGGCGGCGCACGGCATGTTCGCGGCCGATGTGCGACGCGCCGAGGAGACCATCGAGAGGCGGAACGCCGACCACGGCCGGAAGAACCGGTGCGGCGCCGGGGTGCTGCCGTACGAACTGCTGGCGCCCAGCTCGCCGCCGGGGGTCACCTGCCGCGGCGTGCCCAACAGCATCTCCATCTGATCTGGCGACATTGCCGATCCATTCATTCCTCTTTGTGTTCTGGATCAATAATTTTAGTAAAATGAATATGAAATAGGAGTATTAATCAGTATCCGTACCCAAACGAAACCAAACCCTCCGCTTCTCCACCGCTCCAGTGCCGCAGCCCTCGCCGGAGTTCGGTGACTGGGGGCCTCCGAACTCCGGGACCTGCAGACGACGACATCCTACGCAGCCTTGTCCCTGCCTCTGCTCACCGGCGACGATCACCTCGCGCCCATTCAGGGACCATGTTAGAAAACAACAGTGTTGTGGTGACAGACTTCTCAGATGATGATAGCAATTGTGAATGTTCTGTAAAAAAGGAAGAAGATTGTGAGAGTGTAAGAACGAGAGCAAAATGGGCTTTTCAGCATCTATTCAGTTTGCAATGTTGAGGTGAAGGCAATGCCTTACTGATCTTGCAATTATGCTCTGCGCCACTGAACTTTGCTTGCTCATAGTCATAC